AAAGAAAACATCAGTAAGGCCCAGTATAGCCTTAAGAGCCATCCAGTGTAATTACATAAATGAGCAACAGGGGACAAGATAGATTAAAAGACCTGTATGTTAAATAATTAGGTTACGGCAGAATCAGAGCACAAACAGAGGTTCCCTGATAAGCGAGGTTGATCAGCTCATTTAGGATTACAACTCAGACACATCTATCGCCTCTGCGCTCTTAGAGTATCTACTCCCCACCCCCACCCCATATATTTTAATTCTTTGTGTAAAATTACAACTTACATGATGTTTTCCCCCCGACCACTGGCCATAATGCTCCATTTCTTCTACCAATTCATCACAGGCTTTTTCAGAAAATATGGGGAACCAAAAGACATCAGGACAAGGCTATAAAACACGGCATCAACATTAGAGGACTCATAACATCTTAGTAGCCTAAAACAGCTCTTTTGATAGTATAAAATAAAAAGTTCTAAATGACTAGAAGACTATTACAGTTCAACTGGTAGTATGTGTTAGATCTCTTTCTCATGGTACCTAAAATTATGGTACCACTTGAAAATAATGTATTAGCAATAGTTTTAAATGCTAATCTAATGTCATTTTTATAAAGACCTGAGAAAAGACTCTTTAGAAAGAAAGCTCAATTTCTTTCAATGATAACTTTGACCAAAAAAGTCTGTCAACGGTTCCTTATTTTTAGTGGTTTCAGGAAGCTATGGCACTTAGGAGCCTTCTTTTTTAAAGAAGTATGATCTTGAAATTATTGTTAATCTCCATGTTTAACAACTATATCATCCCCAAGGCTTTGTAATTGGTATAATAATCAAGTCATATGAATTTAACCTCTGTTTTCATAACCTCTTCCACTAAAATAGTATTGCATTGATAAATACTGCTTTCTGGAAAATGTAGCAAAAATGCTCTGTACAACATAATAACTATTAATACAAACCTGCTCAACTATACTTTCAGTGAAAATCTTTGAATAATCACGGTTTATGTATTTTTCCTTCCAGTCCTATCAAAACAAAACGGTACATATTAAAGCAAATAACTATTCTATAAATACTTCACTGGAAAATATAAAGTATATGCACTTTAGAAATTAAACAATTCATAAACGATTATGTATAGTGGAAACACAGGAATTTTCAGAAACTCTAGTAAAATAGGTCAGTTCACATGAGGGTCCATATGATTAGGTCACATTATTTGCATTTGTAAGGTAAAGTCCAAAGTCTGAGTTGTAGCTGAGTAGCTACAGCTGCAGCTTCCTTCACTCAAGAAGTGTGCCATGGATCCCTAACCGCACCTGTCAGGTGAACACTAACCAACCCCAACCTCCCCTGCCCCCTTCTTGAATTTAACTGTGTTTCTCTCTCACTTGGCCTGTACTTGTTGGTCTGTTGAGTACATGGGATGCTTGCATTTCCATTCTTGAGATACTCACTCAGGAGCATGCTCTCTGAATTTATCCAGGTAAATACAAAAAGACACAAAGTCTCCATCTGTTTTCATGGCTGAATAATATCCCATGGTATACATACGCCACAGTTTATTAATCCATTCACGGGCTGATGGGCAGGCACTTGGGGTGTTTCCACATCTTTGCAATTGTGAATCGAGCTGCTGTAAACGTTCAAGTGCAAATGTCCTTATGGTAAAGTCACTTTTTGTTCTGGTCAGACACTTAGTACAAGGTAAATGTTTTCATCTTTGCCTGATTCTGTGTATGCCTACAGTATTCTATGAAATGCAATATTTTTATTTATATAAAGTTTTATGCTTTGGGATTTTAAAACTTGAACAAGATTACATTGACTAGATTTGCATAGTTTATAAATGCTCCATGACTCAGAATAGGGTTACATCCTGGTAAATTCACTGTACGTTGAAAATGCATTTAAAATGCAGTGTTAATCTAATAAACACATCTTAAAGTCAAAAAACCATTAGTCGAACTATCATAAGTTGGTGATGGTTACGGGGTAGGTAAATATGTGTGTGTTTAAAAGTAAAAGGTAAGTAAATTCCAACCAGCAAATATTGGTAAAATATTAAGTACTGAATTAACCAACTAGGTAGGGTTCTTACTTAAACTACCACTTCAGTAAACTATTCTAAAACCTTTTTAATTTTTTGGATACATTTAAAATTTCTGCTTTCATTTCAGTTTTTTTTTTTCTTCAGTTTTTTGGCCAGGACTGGGTTTGAACCTGCCACCTCCAGACCTCCAGCATGTGGGGCCGGCGCCCTACTCCTTTGAGCCACAGGCCTACCCATTTTAGTTTTTAATATATATGAAAGAATGATTATGGGGTTACTAATACTTTCACTTCTTTTACTTAAAATATAGGGCCATATATTGAAAAACAATTCCTTTTCATTCCGTAATAATTCATAAACCTAATTCTTCTCTTTGACCAACCTCTGGCATGAATTCTTTTTCCAGCTCAAATGCTTTATTGAAATAGCAGTATTTATTAAAAGATAAATATATTAAATTTGAGCAACATAAATATCTACAAAGTTTTCCTCTTCCGTTTATCTAGAATGTTGTAACGAATTTCTTAATTTTACCTCTACAAAGTACAATATAATACACCAGTGAGGAAAAACTGAGGCATGGACTCAATAGTCAGAATAAAAATATGTTTCAAAAAACAATTGTCTGAAATACATCTTTTGATACTAGATACCAAAAGGGCCAATACGTTAAATGAAGATAATTTGTACATCATTCTTAGTGGTTCATTTCAGTTGTCTATAGCTCAGGTATTTTTGATGTGGAGGGGACAAAGATATCTACACATTTCTTAATAAATTTCATTTGTACAGAGTATATAATTATAAGGATCATATTTTTATATTTTAATAATATTTAATATAATTTAATAGTATATATCAAAATATATAATTCCTCTAATATTCAATAGTTTCAAAATACGGCAAACAATCAAAAGTAAATAATCATCCATAAGATTTTCCAAATTTCAGACCACCTCTCAAATCTTTGGGCAAACTGATCTTGCATTATTTGATAAAATGTCTGATAATGAGACAATTGCTAAGTATTCTGCTGTGGGTTCTGCCTCACGAGGCTTGTCAAATAAGCTTTCATGAGTGGATTAACAAAATGTGGTGTATGTATACCATGGAGTACTAGTCAGCCACAAAAAAAATATAATGCCTTTTGCAGTAATTTGGGAGGAACTGGAGAATATTATTCTAAGCAAAGTATCTCAAGAATCAAAAACAAATACCACATGTACTCACTAGTAAATTAGAACTAACCAACAAGTACACAGAGGAAAGTGAAAGTCCTAGGAAATCTAGTGGGGGGGGATGCAGGGGAGGGGCAAAACCCACTTAACAGGTATAATAAACGCTATTTGGGTAATGGGCACATTTATAGCACAGTCTCAAGCTACATATCAAAAACATCCATATCCTCATATATTTTGAAATATATATATATATATAAATAAATATATAGAAAGACAGTGTTTATATACTGTGTTTCCCCCAAAATAAGACACTGTCTTATATTTATTTTTTTCTCAAGAAGACACACTAGGGCTTATTTTCAGGGGCTGTCTTATCTCCACGCTGAAATGCATGGCGTGGCTATGCAGATACACTGCATAGATACACGCCCATCACTAGGTCTTATTATCAGGGTAGGGCTTATTTTTAACAAGCACAAAGGAATCCTGCTCAGGCTTATTTTTTGGGCAGGTCTTATTTTCGGGGAAACATGGTATTTCTTGTTTATGTCTGTATAAACAAAAGACAAAAATGCCATAGAAAAAAAAGAAAAACAACTGCTACTCCATTCTGACATTTTCATTACTTCCTCTCCAAAGACTTAAATGCTTACAAAAATGTCTACAATTTAGGGTATAATTTAGGATATCTAAGAGAGAAGCTAGCATTACCCAAGAAAACAATTTTATCCCTCAAGATGCAAAGGGTTCAGTGCCAAAAGGAAATATGGAATTCCACTTTCAGCTCTAAGAAAAGCTTCTTTTCAACTCTACTCCTGTGAAAGATGAAGATATGCAGCCAAACTTGAAAGGAACATAACCTTAAAACAACAAAATGTCAAATAATATTCTGTTTCTATTCAACAGCGTATTCAGAGACTAGTAAATTTACTATTACTAGATCTCAACTATTCCTATAAAAGACATTCTCATCAGGCGTACTGAGTCTTTGTAATTTAAAAACATTGACACTGGCAGGGAAAAAAAATCGTACATAGCACTGTTACGAGGATGACTGTGTACGACAGTATTTTCCCTTGAATAAACGTGCCAACTTATGAAAAGAGATCCCTGTAAAACAAAAAAGGAGTTAATTACTGTATGATTCTAACTTTTTAAAAAATGAAAAAAAAAAATTTTACTTTAAAGAAAAAAGTTTACCCGATTTAAGATTTTGTAATATGCTGCATCTGCTTACTCTACACTTTTCTCTATCTTTGGTATCTTTGGTGTACAGTTACAAAATTGCTAAAAAACAAAACAAAACAAAACAAAAAAAAACAAAGTGATAACACGGCCTGTATTTTCCCAAACTAAATTCTTGAATTTTCTTCCTGAAAAATCAAAATATCCTCATAGGTGAGCTATTTGTAAACATTACTCTGACATTGTGATTCAAAATGAGAGGGTGTGTTTGAACATATAAAACAAAAATTATTGAGAGCAAAGAAACTAATGATTCTTCCCATTAAACCTAATATATGTCTTAATAAAAAAGGTCATGGTCAAGTTTAGATCTACTCTACAGGTCATAAAATGCATTACATCATTTTTTAAAAAATGTCTTACCATATTTTCATATCGTTACTGAACCGTTTTATATCCATTAAGAATTATAAGAAAATAATAAATGAAGGTGAATATGAAATACATACCACGGGATTTTCAAAAATCTGCCAGAGGTCATTGTTATAATGGGAAGTGTTGTAATTAGCAGTTGATAATAGCCTTCCAAATTCATGTCTATTAGAAATGTACATAAATACACCCTATATGCCAGAAAATATCAGTGTTAATCTTAGAGGTATATAGAAAATAAAATTAACTATAGGAAAAATATATGGACGATATTAATTTTAATTTTTATGTTTCATTTATGAACATGCATTTTTTACTTTTCATAAAAAACATGCATGATTTAAAATAAAAGAAATACAATTGTCATCAATGAGTTCAGACACCACACAAAACTATTAGATAGCACTGACACTCAACTGAAAAAAAGAAGCCTGGACTGTTTTTGTCCCTTTCTCATTGATCCTAGATGTAGACATCGGAGAAAAAAACTCCTGTTTGAAAGCAAAAACATTTTTGAGACACCAAAGTACAATAAATTATTCCTCTTTTGGCTTCTTTCCCTTTCAAAGAAGAAAAAGTTACATATTGAAACAGGAATTCAAAAGTGTCAGGAGTATTTCATCAGGCTATTTCATTCTTTTATTGTTTCAATATTTAAAGACTGAACACAGAAATAGTTGTGTCTTCATTATAAATGCAACTAAAGAAAGCCAGTCTTATATTCTTTTCCCAAACCAAATAAATGTGGCAACACCACTGAGGTAAGGTTCTTTTTGTACCTGCTTTAATGGTAAAATGGTTAGTGATTAACACGGTAAATCCATGAAGAGGACCCAAACCTCATTTTAATCAAGATGTACTTTATGCCTACGACTACCCCTTCTCGCCCTTGGAAAAAAAAATAGAAAAAAATATGAACAAAAGGAACTTGGGTTTAACTTTCTCACTTGCCAATCGCAAAATGTAAATCACCCCAAAGTACCAAGGGCTGACAGTCACACAATGCACACTCCTAAGTCACACAAAATACACACACACCAACACACAAGATATCAGTAACCCATGAACACCAACATTTTGCCACACTAAATGCAAAGAAGGCCCTTAAACTTTAATACTAGGCAATATATCATATTGATTAAATAAACAAAATAAATAAAAATAAATAAAAGTAACACCTTTGGGGGGCTGAGCATTTGGAATGTTTCCGGAGTAGGGGAGTCTTTTTCCCTTTGTAAAGTCTAAAATGAAGAGAAGCATTGGGTAAGTTGACCTGAACACTCATTCTCTCAGGTATTTTTTGGTAAATAAAAATAGCAGCTCTTGATCAAAGGCTGACATTCTGAAATGTCCTCCACAGACAACATGCAGAACAAGCAAAGCTTTGAGCACAGAGAGAAATGTCTCCAGCCCTTTCATTCCGTGTGTGTGTGTGTGTGTGTGCGTGTGTGTGTGTGTGTGTGGTCAGACGTGAGTCCAAGCTCATTCCGGAGGAGAACTTACATTAGACACAAAATAAGACGAAGGGAAAAATGAGTAAGAGAGGCCATTCCAGGATGCGCTGTTGAGTCAAATTAGCCAAACATGAGCACAAAATACAATCACAGGTACTGAAGATATTCAATAATAATGTGCATAGGTGTGTAGGAAAAACAGACATATTCAAACAACACATGCCTTGTTAAACTACAAAAAAAATACTTGCCAACTTTTCTGATTTTTCCAAAAATCACAATTGCTTACATATATTTTAAAATGGAATAACCCAATCTTTTCTAAAATAGAAAATAGTATAAATATGTTTTAAAACATATTTATTAACCTTCAAAAACAATTTGCTAAATTCATGTAAGTTTTATAATGAAAGTATATTTGTAGAACAAGAATGTATCATCAGTTTTATGGACATTGATTAAGAACACAAAATGTGTTCTTCGTAAATGTGTAATGATCACTGTACCCAGGATTTACCTAATTAATTTTAATTAGGTCAAGTTTTCATTGTAGAATTTCAAATACAAGATATGTTCTTTAAAAAGCAAAGCTAATTTGTAACAATTCCATCTTTATTATTCTATCCTCCTAGGTTGCTTATGAATCACCCAAACTAGCATTTTTCAAATCATTTCTACAGATAGATGTTCACAAACTATTCTCCAAAATTGCTCCTAAATTTTCAGCACAGAACCAAAAAAATTGGCTAGTACTTACAAATGAGAAAGAAAAAAGGTATCAAAACACAACGACACACCACCTGATAAAGCAAGCCATCTCATAAAAACATTCAAGCGAGCCATCACCGTGCATCTTACCATTTCTCTAGCATTTCGGCAAAGAGCCATATCAGGATCCAATTTATCACGAACAAAATAGTTCCTCTCATTCATCTCTGAGCGCAGTGTCTTTCCTTTAATTAAGTACACATTAGCCATGTATGGTACATTCCATACTCCTCTGAAATAAAGGCATTCCAAAACATCACGAATACAATTTTAGATTGTATGTTTTTTAAAATAAATGTTTTTTACGTCTTTAAATTTTGTATATATAAATTACTGAATAAACACACAGATATAGTTAATGACATTTGACATATATATATGAGATTGGTATATGCAATATTTTTATG